ACTGTTTGCACAAACAATCATGAAAAAGTGGCAAATGATGTCATCAATATCTTCACTAGAGAGGATATGGAAAACATGCCACTCAGGTCCCGGATATAGTTTCATATGAATTCTACAGTTGGTGTATTCTCCAGTAAAACACTTGTGTCTATATGATAACACATGATAATGTGCCACGGTTTTATAGCTAGACAAGCTCCCTTAGCTTTTTCGACCAAAATGGAAACATTTGGAAGGGACTGTAAAATCCTATATTTTATGCACTACAAAAACACGTTAATTAAAATGTCAGAACAAAATTCTATTTCACAGGGATAGAATTAGTGATCAAATAATAGAAATACAAATACTATTGACATTCATAGCACCAGATTCTCTTATCATGGATTCCCAAGCTGTGTACAAACTTCAGAAATTTAGTATAACTACTAGCTCCGTGAATCTAATTCTTCTTTCCTTGCCTAACTTAATAAACTTCACTCAGTACACAGGTCTGTGAGGCGACAAACAGAAAATAACAGATTGAAGTTACTTACACAGAATTCTGTTGGTCTTGTGCCAAGTTTTTCCTGAAACATAATAATATGGTTTGCATAAACTTAAGCTTGCACAGTGGCACATATTAAAACCTTTGGACTTAGAAAAGGAGACATTGGAAAACTGCATGATTGTATAATTAATAAGGTAAGACTGAAAATCAGAAAATTGTTAAAAAGGAAATACCTTAACTGCCTCGGATACCCCAAGATTAAATGCAGCCACCTTCTGATTGTAACAACGGTTGTTTAAGTTCTTGTTCTGCAAGAAAGGAACAATTAATTTACTTTTTCATTTAATTTACACACCAAGCGAACACTGAATTCAGTAACAATAAAATTACACAAACAAAGGATGGCAAAGGAAAGCTTAGGAAGACTAAGGTTGTCACTTCGCCTTGCACCTTTCAGAGATGTATGGCATGCTTTAAAGTACAGGATACAGGATTGTCAACTTATGGAATTCATTAGATAAAGATTAAAAACTGTGCAAAGGTTCAGTAAACTTAAGAAAACTCTTAAAGCAAAGATGCTTGATGAGTTTTTGAAACAAGAATAGTGTTACAGTTTTCAATTCATTGTATTTTTATTGTATTTGTATTGTTTGCTGAAAAACCCATTTTTGGGAGTGTGCAATAAAGTTTCATTTATTCATTTGTTTAAATTTCAAATTTTGTCTAGTAAAAAAAGGAGCACTGTGCAAGCTTTTTCTGGACATGGATTTGCCAAATGCTGTAAATCTCGAAACTGCATGAATAAGTGAACTCAGTAAACTTAAAGCATGTACACAACATCTACTTTAAAAAAAAAAAGAACTGTCAGCTTGCACCCAGAAGCTACTTTTAACAAATCACTTTTATCTCACCCAGCCATAAGCAAATAGAAGACAAAGTTGTTGCGCATACCTGTTCCTTAAGAATTGCCTCTGTGTCCTTCTGTTGTTGGTACTGCTGTAGAAGGCGATCCTCCTCAAGTTCTCGCTGACGACGCTCCTCAGCAAAGTAAATAGGTACATTTTTCTGGGAACGTTGGTGGCAAAGGTAACATAATTCCTGTCCTGCCCTGTCACTATGACTACATCTGTGATTGACAAAGTTCACGAGTTAAAAACATAAAGTGGTATATCTACAGATATAGTTGGTATCCTATAATTTTTAATGAATTTCACTAAGTAGTCCTTCGACTTGACAAACCAAACGTCCAAATCAACTGTTTTTTTCCAATCTGGAATAACAAACTTTTCTATCCTCTCCAATACTGCATTTCAATTAATCTCTACTAGCTGGGAAGACTCAGAGCTCAAATTATTTTATCTTATGGAATTAACAAATTAGAAATATATTGAATACCTGTTAAGCAAAAGCTGAAAAACATTTTCCAGATCAATATGCCCTTATGAACTGTACCATACCTTAGTCTCGATGGAGAGACAGGAGAATGAAGAGTGTCTCCTGCTTGATCACCAGGGGATTGCTCACGTCTGATTGCATCCTGCGTAGGACTTCTGGTGACCTTGTTTACTGTAGATCCTCTTATACCTTTGGGAGGACCAGCCTTCAGTGGACTCTTAGGTGGAGTAGGAGGCGGTGTCAAGATAGATTCTGAAACATTATAAATCACACCAGTGGCTTTGGCAGGGTGAAGAGGAGTACGAGGACCATTTGCAGGAGAAAGTCTTGATGGACTCTTTGGAAGGGCTGCAAGTTTGTCAAAATTTTAACAGATTATAAATGAAAAATCCATTTATTGTCTAAATTAGGGTTTAAACTAAGTTTGAATTACATAAACAAAGTAAATACAGCATTAAATAGTAAGTTAATCACTGTCTCTTTAAAGTTTGAGGGAAAATATCAGAAACCAAAAATAACTAATCAAAATTAAGTACCAATAATCTATCCATTTACAGTAAATGATTCCCTGATAACAAAATCTGTAGCTTCAAGATTTGAGAGTATCTTCTTGCATCCTCCCATAGTATTCACTTTGNGCAAAGTTCAAGAAATTACTAGTTAACACAGAAAAGCAAACAATAACACAATGTCAACATTACACATGAGCTTGATTTTCATTTTCATTTCAGCAAGTAAAAACGGGCTTTAACAAAAGTTCAGAGTCGGAATTAATTCTTTCATAAAGAAGCTCACAAAACATGTACATATAAATTATCTCAAATGAAACTGAATCATATGATACATGTATCTGTACTTGCAAGGCAACTTTTCAAAGTTCTTCCTCTAAGGAGCTATGTCACAGTTTTCGAATCTTGAAAAGTTTAGCCTAAATTTTACAAGTTTGTCATTTGTAATCCATGTCAATCTTCTCTAGCCTCTTGACTCCCTTTGTTTCTTCATGGTTTATTATAACTGTCTCTGTTGGTAGTGTTTTTCTTTCTTAGTGTAATATTCCTCCCTGGGTGTTGTTATTCATGAGATGGTAATAAGGAATGGGGAATTGTGATGGCCTGGGACATACCTAGGCCAGGGCAAGATGTGTGAGGAATCCAATCAAAACCCAGTCTTCCTATGGATGGGTGGGTGGGGTGCACTAAATGCTTTTTAAGTTTCCTTTAATTTAAAGGTAATTTTGAACTCACTGAAAATAACTCAAAATTCTGTGACTGAGCTCCTTTAAACTATAACTAAAAGTGTCCCATTCGCAGTCTTATGAAATCAGATGGTATATTTAGGTTTTTTACAATCTAAAATAAAAATTAAGTCGTTTGTTTACATTTTGTTTCCCTTTATAAAGTAACTCACCATCCTCTTCTTTGGGCAGGTCCTGCTCTCCCAGCAGTGGTTCTACAACAGGTATTGGCCAGGCTTCCTCCTGTTCTTGGGGTCTTTCTTTGTCAGGAGTTGCCACATCTTCTCTTGCTACCTCGCCCCCGTTGAGTTCCTCATCCTGCTCTGTGATGGTAGGCATCTCTTCTTTTCCGAGACTTTTACCTGGGCTTCCTCCTTCTCCTGGAGTAATTCTAAGGGTCATAATAATATTCAATAATCATTTATTAAATATCACACTGCCGTGCTCAAATTAAAAAAAAATGTAAAATATGCTAAAACAATATTAGTGGTGGGTCCACTTTAAATTTATCAATAGAACTGTAATTATTAAGGTATGAATAATTTTATCATAATTGGTGTAGCATTTTACATACCTTGGTAAGACCAGAGTGTTACTAGTATGTGGGCGGGGACTAAAAGGCTCTGACAAAACAGAGTCAGCAGTTCCAGGTCGCTGGAAGTTTAGAACATTA